GACCCAGCTTCTCCTCCTGTCCTAGGGCCACGCTCCAGGTATTGCACCAGGCATGTGAGGCAGCTCTAGGCAGCGGCCTTGTGCCCGGTGGCAGTGCCCTCACCTGGGCCAGCCACTACCAGGAGAGACTGAACTCCAACCAGAGCTGCCTCAATGAGTGGACAGCTATGGCTGACCTAGAGTCTCTGCGGCCTCCCAGCACCGAGCCTGGCCGGTCAGTGCAGGGAGGGGAGGGCCTGGGTGGAGGGGAAAACAGGACAAGGGGGGATCAGGGGGAGCATGGCAGAGAGGGGAAGGGGCCCCTTGACTGCGGGGCTCTGCTCCCAGGCCCTCAGAACAGGAGCAGATGGAGCAGGCGATCCGTGCTGAGCTGCGGAAAGTGTTGGATGCCAGCGACCTGGAGAGCGTCACTTCCAAAGAGGTGGGCAGGGGGCCTGGGGCAAGTCCCCTCCAGCAGGGACCACAAGCTTGTCTCTCCTGGGAGCCCTCCCCACCTGGCCAAGTCCTGACCCATTCCTGGATGTTTTGGCCTTGGCCCTAGTCTGTCTAGATGGGACAAGGTGCTGTCCTCAGAAGCCCCAGAGGGAAGGTGGGGGGTCAGGCACTTGGAAAGCCCCAGCCTCTCTTGCCCTGGGCTCTGCCTGCAGATCCGCCAGGCCCTGGAGCTGCGCCTGGGGCACCCCCTCCAGCAGCACCGTGACTTCATAGACAACCAGATGCTGCTGCTGGTGGCGCAGCGGGACCGGGCCTCCCGCATCTTCCCCCACCTCTACCTGGTGAGCTGCCGCTGGGCCTGGGCCATGGGGACAGCTGGCAGCTGCGAGAGCAGCGGGGTCCCAGAAGCAGAGGCTGGAGAAAAGGGAGAATGTGCTGCTCCCTCTCTCCCAGGGCTCGGAGTGGAATGCGGCGAACCTGGAGGAGCTGCAGAGGAACAGGTAAGGCTATGAGCCCCTGGGGCCACCCACCCCATCTTCCCTTCTCCTGGCCTCCTTGCATTGGGTGGTAGCCAGCTTCAGAAACTACCCTCAGCAGCTGCTAGCTCTGCTTCTAACTCTGTCCTGGGGCTGTTACCCTGGTGTGGGTGCCCAGGTCGGGACAGGAAACCCGCTGGCCAGCCCTGCCCACTCTCCTCCCCTCCCCCATTGTGAAACAAGGACAGAAACAAAGGGCCTCAGCCACGCCAAGACGAGAAGCAGCAGAGCCCACTGCTGTAACTGCCTTGGACAAGCAGAAAAACGGTCCTCTTGGCTGGGCGTGGTGGTGCACACCTGCAATCCCAGCTACTCGGGAGGCTGAGGCAGAGAATTGCTTGAACCTGGGAGGCAGAGGTTGCAGTGAGCAGAGATCACACCACTGCACTCCAGCCTGGGCAACAGAGAGAGACCCTGTCTCTAAAACATAAGAAAAAAGAGAGAAAAAGCCTCTTCTCCACCTGGCCCTTTCCCAGGGAAGAAGGAACTGGCCTCCTCCCTGTGGGGACCTAGCTGCCTGCTCTGACAGGTACTTGTCATCTGTCCACCATGGGCTTCTGGGAGACCTGCTGTATCTGTCGCCCCACTGCTGCAGACCCACCCATGCTCAGCTTAGCTCAAAAGCTGTCCTCTAACTTCTGAGAGGAACGGAAGGGCTGGAGTTGCAGTTGACCCAGCTGACTGGACTAGATGGGGAAGCAGGCCTAGCAGGGTCAAATGATTGGTTCAAGGTCTCAGCCATCTGACAGCTGAGTCCGTTCTCCTCCCACTGTCACTGCTGCCTCCATCTGACTTGAAACTCAGCTAAACAGAGGCCCAGGTTCTGCCAGGTCCGATGGCCAGTGGCCCTGGTACCTTTGCCCACATCAGCCCCGCCTTGGGCCCTCTGGGACAGGGTCACCCACATCTTGAACATGGCCCGAGAGATCGACAACTTCTACCCTGAGCGCTTCACTTACCACAACGTGCGCCTCTGGGATGAGGAGTCAGCCCAGCTGCTGCCGCACTGGAAGGAGACGTACCGCTTCATTGAGGCCGCAAGGTTAACCCCCGGCTCCCCTGCCTGCCCTGCTGTGGCTTCACGCGGCCCCCAGTGCCCTCCTCTTGCCCACTCTGCCATCAGCTCTGCCGTTCCTTCCAGCCCCCAGTGTCCTTGCCTCCTGCTCTACACTCAGCTGCTTGTGAGCCCTTTACCTGCCCTCCCCCACAGCAGGCGAGTCCTTCATAGTGGGGGGAGGGTGCTGACCCTGTCCTGCCTCCACAGAACACAGGGCACCCGCGTGCTGGTCCACTGCAAGATGGGCGTCAGCCGCTCAGCGGCCACGGTGCTGGCCTATGCCATGAAGCAGTATGGCTGCAGCCTGGAGCAGGCCCTGCACCACGTGCAGGAGCTCCGGCCCATCGCCCGCCCCAACCCCGGCTTCCTGCGCCAGCTGCAGATCTACCAGGGCATCCTGACTGCCAGGTATGGGATGGGGTGAGTAGGTTGGTTTGTGGGGTGTGGCTGCTGGGTCACTCAGAGCTGACTCAGGGCCACCTCCTCACAGTCGCCAGAGCCATGTCTGGGAGCAGAAAGCGGGTGGGGTCTCCCCAGAAGAGCACCCAGCCCCTGAAGTCTCTACACCATTCCCGCCTCTTCCGCCAGAACCTGGGGGTGGTGGGGAGGAGAAGGTTGTGGGCGTGGAGGAGAGCCAAGTAGCCCCAAAAGAAGAGCCTGGGCCACGGCCACGTATCAACCTCCGAGGGGTCATGAGGTCCATCAGTCTCCTGGAACCCTCCTTGGAGCTGGAGAGCACCTCAGAGGCCAGTGACATGCCAGAGGTGAGGCTGGGACTCGGGGAGCTCGGCCTGCAGGGGTGGGGACCAGAAGGAGGGAGGTGGGGAAAGACCAGGATGGCGTTTGACCGTAGGCCCGAGCAGGGCGTACCTGGGCTCGGTCTGGCCCACCCACGCAGGGTGTCCTGGGAGGACCCTGGGGGCCTGGTCCCAGCCTCCTTCACAGTCAGCCTAATACCTCTCAGCACGAGGCATCTCCAGCCCATCCCATGAGTATCCTTGAAGACTGGGACCAGCCCTGTCCTGGGCTCCTGAGAGCAGTTGAGACCCAGTGAGGGCAGGTGGGGACGCTGCAGGCACAGGCTGGAGAGGGGCCACGGGCAGGACAGGAGGCAGTTCCCAGGGCTCCTGGGCGAACCAGCCCTGGCCAGGGTGGCAGGCGTGTTCCAGACTGACCACAGAACTAGCTGTCTAAGGGGCAGAGCTGCCTCCCCAGGCCACAAGCTCCACAGCCACCTGCTGGCCCTGGGGGCGTCTCTAACCCCCTGGTGAGGGGAGGGTAAATGAATCTCCGTAGCCTCTCTTGGATCTGAGGAGCAGCACCTCCAAGCGTTCAAGCAGTTGAGGTGCAGAGGGTCTGTGTACTCACGCCACCCAAGTCCTGCCTAAGTGAGCACCCTCGACGCTCAGTGCTGTGGGCACAAGCAAAAGACTGGGAGCCAGGCCCTGTGTGGGACTCAAGGCCAAATGGCTGACTTGGAAGAAGGAGCATCCACTGAGGGCAGGAACATTTGGGAGAGGCTTCCTGGAGGAGGTGTGGGTGGGGAAGGATAGGGAGGCATGGTGGGTTGGTGGGTGGGTGTCTGTGTTGCTAAAGGCAGGAGGTCCTCACCCAGCACTGACACCCGCATCCACCCAGCCCAGGTCAGGGGCTGCTGCAGGCATGGTTTCACCCGCTGGCTGCCTGTGCAAAGGCAGAGGAGGGATAGGAGGAGCGGAGGGCAGGGAGGCCTGGGTCTCAGGGGAGCTGAGGAGGGCTGCTGGGGGCCAGAAGGAAGCTATAAGCAGCTAGGATTCAAGGAGCAGGGCAGCAGGGCGGGGGTGTTGTCCTCCCCCCGGGGAAGCATGGCTGTGGACAGCTTGGCTTTTGGTGTATGTGCCGCAAACATTCCGCCCCTCACCTCTTCCCGGCTCTGCTTGGTGCCCCTGCCCCGGAAAGGCCTCCCATGGCTTCTGTATCCTCGCACCTGTCCAGGTTTTCTCTTCCCCTGAGTCTTCATATGAAGAGCCTCCGCAGCCCTTCCTGCAGCTTGCAAGGACCAAGGGAGGCCAGCAGGTGGGCCGGGGGCCGCAGCCGGCCCTGAAGTCCCGCCAGTCAGTGGTTGCTCTCCAGAGCGCCGCCCTGGTGGCCAGCCGGACCCAGGCCTTCCAGGAGCAGAGGCAGGGAGAGCCCGGCATTTCCTCTACGCCCAGGTTCCGGAAGGTGGTGAGGCAGGCCAGCGTGGATGACAGTGGAGAGGAGGGCGAGGCCTGAGCCCTCACACACACCCATGTTCCCCTAGACACTAAATAGAGGGTCCACAGCTCCTCAGGGAAACGCCCTCATGTCTCTGGCAGCGCCCATTCCTCTCAGCTCCTCCCACGACAGCTCCTCCCCTCACTACAGCCACACCTCCCACAGCCCTAAGTCCCAGACCCATGTCCACCTGTCGGGGGCTCAAGGCTTTCTAACTGGGATGTGGTAGAGGGACTGAAGGTGCCATTGGCAGCAACCGCATCCTAGTTTCATTCTCAAATCTTGCTCTGAACATTCACCTGCAGTCACAGAATAAAAACAAGAGCTTCCAGTGCAGAAAGGCTCCTGTTCCCCACTCCTGCCCATCCCTGTGCCTCCCATCCTCCCCCAGTTCATTCCTGGAACCAGCCAGGCCAGGGAACCCCTGGCCCCAAAGGCAGGCAGTACCCTCAGCCCCAGCCGCAGGAGGCTTGAGGGGTGGCAGGTCGCTGCCCCCATCCACCTCAACCCGTCCAGGTCTTTGCTGCTGTCCCCAGACCTCCTGCATCACTGCGCTGGATCACAGGGCACCAGGCCAGAGAGAGTCTTCTTTTTGTCCTTTATGGTCTCTGGCTAGTCGGGTTTTCATAGTCTTAGAGTATCTGGCTTTGTACTGAGAAATAAAACACATTTTCATATTCGATTATTTTCAATCTGATGATGATGATGAAGCCATCTCTATCGCAGTCAGACCCTTCTTAGCTGGCCATGGAGGGTAGCTGCTCATTCCTCCCAGCAATTTCCTCACAATTCCCAGGTGTCTTGATACAGACCTATTCGCGGGGGAGCATCGTGTTTGGGCGTGGTGTGGGAGGAAGCTTGGGTAACAGAGGAGAGGAGGTCAGTGCTGTCTCCTCATCTCCTGGGGCAGGGCTGGTGAATGTTAGCTGCCTACACCCGCTCAGGCAGGTCGGGCAAGGGAACAAGTCCTTACCGGACAGCAGGCATGTGCTCTGCTGCGAGAGCTGGAGGGAGTTACTCATGAGGAAGTGCCTACCTGGACAAGACCAAGCCTGTTCCAAAAGTGAAGATGTCTTCTGGACAGTAATGCCCGCTCTATGGCATATTTTGGGCCCCAAGACTCATCTTCCTCCTGCTACAATGCAAAAGGGCCTGATTTCCAAGTCAGCCTATTGCTACCTGGGAAGAGGGACCCTTGGTGACCCTTCTTGTCCTGCCTAGGGGTTCCTTCCGCTCAACTTCAGTGTCCAAGAAAAGTTAGTTGTTCCATCTTTTTTTTTTTTTTGAGACATTCTTGTTCTGTTGCCCAGGCTGGAGTGTAGTGGTGCAGTGATGGCTCAGTACAGCTTTAAATTCCCAGGCTCGAGTGATCTTCTAACTTCAGCCTCCCGAGTAGCTGGGACCACAGGCACGTGCTGCCACACCTAGCTAAGTGGTTACATCTTTGTCATTTCTTTCTTGTTTTTTGAGAGAGGTCTTGCTCTGTCACCCAAAATGGAGTGCAATGGTATGATCTTGGTTTTTTATAGCCTCAACCTCCTGGGCTCAAGTGATCCTCCTGCCTCAGCCCCCCAAGTAGCTGGGACTACCTGCACACACCACCATGCCCAGCTAATATATATATATATATATATATATATATATTTTTTTTTTTTTTTTTGTAGAGGTGGGTTTTACCATGTTGCCCAGGCTGGTCTTGAACTCCTGGGCTCAAGCAATCCACACATCTCAGCCTCTCAAAGTGTTGGAATTACAAGTATGAGCCATCATGCTGGCCCATCTTTCTCACTTCTATCCCTGTTCCTAAGATTATGCTCTCTGCCCTGTGATACACTACCCTGATTTGGGGAAGGGGCTGGATTCAACTCCTTCCCTCAAAGCTGTCCTCAGAGATGGGAGCTGGCACCAAGCATTCTCAGTGATTGAGACATCATGCCCAGTTTTAAGAATGAATCTCTCACCCAGGCCCTCGTGGGACTCCCAGCGCTGCTCTAACCCTGAAGCGCCCAGTGGCAGGGGACTTGGATTCTAGCCCCAGCTAGAGTCTCTGTTTCTTTCTGTAAAACAAAGGGATTACACCTGGAAATCCCTAAGTACCCCTCTTCACTTTGATGCATTTTATTTTATTTTTATTTGAGACTGGGTCTGACTCTGTCACCCAGGTTAGAATGCAGTGGGGTGATCTTGGCTCACTGTACCCTCTGCCTCCCAGGCTCAAGAGATCCCACCTCAGGCTCCTGAGTAGCTGGGACTAAAGGGCCACCACGCATGGCTATACTTTGATACATTTCAACAATATGTGAGGCCGGGTGCAATGGCTCATGCCTATAATCCCAGCATTTTGGGAGGCTGCGGTGGGCAGATCACCTGAGGTTGGGAGTTTGAAACCAACCTGACCAACATGGAGAAACCCTGTCTCTACAAAAAATAAAAATAAAATAAAAAAATAAAAAATAAATTAGCGAGGCGTGGTGGTGGGAGCCTGTAATCCGAACTACTCAGGACGCTAAGGCAGAGGAATCACTTGAACCCAGAGGTAGAGTTTGTGGTGAGCCAAGATTGCACCAGTACATTCTAGACTGGGCAACAGAGCGAGACTCCATCTAAAAAAACAAAACAAACAAAAACATGCTATCTAGACATTGCTAGAACTTAGCCTCTACCTCTCTTCCAGAAGAGGAATTGTTGGCACCTATCTGGGTGGTATGCCTAAGGGTCACAAGATGTAGGGCACAGGGAAGCTAGTTCTGACTCCTGATCCATCCTGCTAACATTGGGGGCTGCCCCCCATTCTTTGGCTAACCAGGAGTCCTACCCAGGCTGCCCTTTCCGTATTCCTAGGGCTGCAGGTGGGTGCGTGGTTGTGACAGTGTCGGGGGAAGCCAAGGCCAGGCCCTGCCCTCCTGCAGCCTGCGCATCTCAGAAGGCAGGTCTGATCAGGAACTCAGAGCTATGGGACTCACTGGAATCCATGAGAATTCCAAGGAGTAAGAAGTCAGCAATCAGGAAAAGGAAGACTGGAGGGGAAACTGCATCAAAAATGCAGACAAGAGGGTGCCAGGCATGGTGGCTCACCCCTGGAATCCCATCACTTTGGGAGGCTGAGGCAGGTGGAATGCTTGAGCCCAGGAGTTCGAGACCTGCCTGGGCAACATGGTGAAACCCCATTTCTACAAAACAAAATAAGAACCCTATGGGCTGGGCATGGTGGCTCATCCCTGTACTCTCAGCACTTTGGGAGGCTAAGATGGTTGAATCACCTGAGATCAGGAGTTCGAGACCAGTCTGGCCAACATGACGAAACCCTATCTCTACTAAAAGAAAAAAATTACAAAAATTAGCCGGGCGTGGTGGTGTGTGCCTGTAATCCCAGCTATTTGAGAAGCTGAGGCAGGAGAATTGCTTGAACCCGGGAGGCAGATGTTGCAAGATGGAGATGGCACCACTGCATTCCAGCCTTGGTGACAGAGGGTGACTCTCTCAAAAAAAAAAAAAAAAAAAAAAAAAAGAACCCTATGTGTATACAAAGCTCATAGAAATTGCTAAAGGGTCAAAAAATAACAAAGAAGCATATAAAATGAAAAGTAAACTCACTCCTACTCTGTCTTCCAGTCCTTCATGTCTACTCAGGCAATGACTGCAGCTGCCTTCGAGGCCCTCCAGGTATCCCATGCTTACGTAATCAAATATATTGGTATGTGTATTTTTATTTTTATTTTTGACAGAGTCTTTCTCTGTTGCCTAGGCTGGAGTGCCATGGTGTCATCTTGGCTTACTGAAGCCTCTGCCTCCGGGTTCAAGCGATTCTCCTGCCTCAGACTCCTGAGTAGCTGGGATTATAGGTGTCCACCACCGCACCTGGCTCTATTTTTAGTAGAGACGGGGTTTCATCATGTTGGACAGGCTGGTCTCGAACTCCTGACCTTAGGTGATCCACCTGCCTCGGCCTCCCAAAGTGCAGGGATTACAGGCGTGAGGCACTGCGTCCAGCCAGATCCTAGGTTTCTAGATTCTCATTCTTTGAGCCTAACTCGGGAGTGGGGAAGGTGGCTCCCGGGCAAGTCAACTGACTGCACAGTTGCGCCCAAGGCAGGCCCTGGGTCCAGAAGTGCTCGGAGCTCCCGGGTGCGAGGATCCGGATGGCTGCTCCTCCCGGAGCCTGCTTTCAATTCCCACTGGGCACAGGAGCCCCTCAGCAGCGCGAGGGGTCGCCCAGCCCAGACCTGGAACACTTGCTGCACGACCGTGGCGCGTGTCCCTCTGGAACCAGCTCCCACAGTCCGTCCGAGCGTCCTCCCTACTCCGCGTCCGGCTCTGCCCAGGCTGGGGCGGGGCCTCAGAAACGACCGCCCTCGCGCTAGCCACGGCCGCCCCTCGTTAGGCCAACTTTTCAAACGGCAAAATCAACCGCGCTGAAGAGACTGTGCCTCCGTCTCCTCACTCCGTATCTCAGTTGCCTCAAAGAAACTATCTTTCAGACCTTCGCGGCCTCTCCTGCGGCCGCAGCGTCCGGGAGCTGGGCACCCGAACTTACCCACATCGACCGCGACGTTTGGGCGCCACCTTGTGTCCGTTCCGTTAGCCTGCATGGACAACCCGGAAACCACATTTCCCAGCGTGCCTAGCGCCTCTGAGCAGGCGCAAAGAGTGTTCCCTAGTTGCCATGGGAACCTCGCCCCGCTTAGAGTCCTGACCGCTTGACTCCGCGAAGCGCGAACGTGTTGTTTCTTCCTGAGGTGCGCTGGGGCTGGGACCGGGTTTGCAGAAGGTCCGGGGCGGGGGCGGCGTAGGGGGCTTGAGGAGAGGAGACCAAGCCGGCCTTGCCTCCGAGACCAGCGCTCCCGAATTCTCCGCGGCGTCCCGGCGTCCACACGCTCCTGAGGCCTCGGCGTTCTGAGGAGAGGGACGGGCGAGGCGACTCGGGTCTGCGAGCTCGGGGTCCGGCTGTGGCCCGCGAAGCCCCGCTCGCCTGCGCCAGTGTCTGGTCACTTCGAGCCGAGGGCCTGAGCGTGGCGGACAGGTCCTCCCGGGCGCTGGCAGCCCGCGGGGAGGGTTCGCGCCGCAGGTGAACGCGGAGGTACAATCGGGCAGGGCAGTGAGTGCGCCCGAGGCTGGATCTGGCTCCGCCGCTGATGGATTCGGAACCCGGGAGGCCCCCAGGCGCTGTGGGCTTCAGTTCCCCCGCCCTGTAAAATGGGGCTTGGACTGGAATTCTAGTGCCCATTGCGATTCCGTCGCAGAGCAGGCCCTGGCTCTGTGTGACCTACCAGTTCCTTCCTCTGTAGAATGGGGAGTCTGAAACAGAAGCCTCTTTTGAGGGTGCAGTATGTCACACACTACCGGCCTCGTTGCTCCATACCGCACCCCAAGTGCAAGAAGAAAGAAGAGGACCTGAGATGATCTGAGCAAGACTCTCAGCTTAGGATCTAGAGTCGGAGAAACTTGGGTTTCTGACTTTGGACAAAGTTAGCCTCAGCTTCTTCATTTGCAAGAGTGGGGATAATGTTAACACCACCTCAGATTTTTGTGGATTAAATGAGATGTTACATGTAAGGTGTTTTTTGTTTGTTTTGTTTTATTTTTGAGACGGAATTTTCCTCTGTCGCCCAGGCTGGAGTACAATGGCGAGATCTCGGCTCACTGCAACCTGTGCCTCCCAGGTTCAAGCGATTTTCCTGCCCCAGCATCCCGAGTAGCTGAGACTACAGGCCTGCGCCACCACACCCGGCTAATTTTTTGTATTTTTAGTAGAGATGGGGTTTCACCGTGTTAGCCAGGATGGTCTCAATCTTCCTGACCTCGTGATCTGCCCACCTTGGCCTCCCAAAGTGCTGGGATTACAGGCGTGAGCCACCTAGCCCAGCCCTACCAGCTCCCCCCGACCCCCCGACCCCCAAGACGGAGTTTTGCTCTTGCCGCCCAGGCTGGAGTGCAGTGGCACGATCTCAGCTCACTGCAACCTCTGCCTTCCGGGTTCAAGCGATTCTTCTGCCTCAGCCTCCTGAGTAGCTGGGATTACAGGCATGCACCACCGTGTCCCACTAATTTTGAATTCTTAGTAGAGATGCGGTTTCTCCATGTTGGTCATATTGGTCTCTCACTCCTGACCTCAGGTGATCTGCCCATCTCGGCCTCCCAAAGTGCTGGGATTACAGGCGTGAGCCCGGCGACATGTAAGTTTTTAGTCTAGGGACTGCATGGAGGAAGTGCTATCCCATGTCCCAGCTGTCATTTTTGATAATTTTTACAACAGTCCCTAGCCACTGTAAGACCTTTTCTTAATTTTTGAAGTCATTTTATTTCTGGGCAAATCCATTCTCCTAGGCAGGACAGTTCTTTGTTTTCTTGTTTTGAGACAGGGTCTCACTGTGTGGTCCAGGCTGGAGTGCAGTGGAATGATCTCTGCGTGCTGCAACCTCCTCCGCCTCCTGGGTTCAAGCAGTTATTATGCCTCAGCCTCCTGAGTAGATAGGACTACAGGCACGTGCCATCGTGCCCGGTGAATTTTTGTATTTTTTGGTAGAGATGAGGTTTCACCATTTTGGCCAGACTGGTCTCGAACTCCTGGCCTCAAGAGATCTGTCCGCCTCCGCCTCCCAAAGTGCTGGGATTACAAGCATGAGCCACCTCGCCCAGCCTGAAGTTCTTTTATTAGACTTACATGCTGTCTCAGAGCCATTCTTCTAGGGGAAGGAGGCGAATGGGCAGATCGTTATGGGGTAAGGGCCATATTGTTGGCATCTTTAGTACAGTACCAGCTAATTGAGAGCCAAGGGAGCAAGGTGCATAAATGGATAGGGGGTTTGTGAGCCTCTTTTCCTGGAACTAAGGTGAAGAACCACGAGGGAAAGAAACTGAAGCATAGGATCATGTAGCAGCCCTCAGGATCAGTGATACCAGTGATGGATAGTCTCTTGACTCTTGTGTTCATTCTTGGCTTTTATTTTTCTATGGCTCACTCCTTCCTAGGGCAGTTTCTCTCCCATCTGTGACCTAACTGGGAATGGGAAACTCTGTCCAACATGGCAACAGATTGCCAAGGCCTGCAGCTGCCGCACAGGGAGGAAGCTGGCTTCAGCAGCACCATCTTCAGGCCAACTTCCAGGGCCCTGCCCTTCTCCAGTTCTGTCCAGGGCTGAACCTGCGCTAGGAGCTAGGCTTGAAGGACACCCCTTAGAGATGGGTGTCTAATGGCCTGTAGAGGGGAGAGCTACCTCAGGACCTGGGACAGCAAAAGTGGAAAAGGTCAAAAGGAGAATGGCCTGAGGACAAGTCCTGTTTCAGTCATCAAAGGTCTCGATTCCCTGCTGGAAGCTTCTGTCGCTCAGAAGGTGCAGCCATCCTCAGAACAAGGAAGCTGGGGAGAGATTAAGCAGGTGCAACCAGAGAGGAGATAGAGCACAACTGACTGTCTTTTTTGTCCCTAGATTTGGGAGGCTGGAGGACATCTGGGGGCCACAGTGCTCCTTTTCCTAGAGACTCAACTCAAGGTGAGCCTTTACACCATCCTTCTGGCAGCCTGTGCTCCCACCTCAGAGAATGGTTCTTCCTTTTCATCCTTCTTTCCCAGTTCACTCCTACTCCGCAGGCCACAGGTAAGAGCCTGCAGCGTGCATCAGGATTTCCTTATAGCTAAATGCCATGTGAAGCCCTAGGAACTCCAGGCCGGGTAATTGAGAAAAGGTTGTGACAGCCCAGTGCCCGCCACAGAGGCTTCTGTCTGGCTGCTTCAAGGGCATTATGGTCCTATACGATTCACTAAGTGCTGGCACTTACATGAGATCTCATTTGATCTCAGCAGCTGTAAGGTCTTGTGTTGTGACTTTCACTTTTCCACAGGAGGGATCTGATTTCTTAGGTTGTAGGTCAAAGAACGGAATGATGCCACTGAGACCAGTGATCTTTCCACTGCCTCCATTATCACTGACAGGATGCCACCTGTCTCCTAGTGAGAGCACTGTCCTAGGAAAACCTGAAACTAGACCAAGACTCTCCTTTTTTCCCATTTCAGCTAGAATTTCCTGCCCATTTTCCTCAGTGTTCTATCCCAGCACAGCTTCTCCCCATCACTGGACACATTTGATCCAAGTTTCTCACTCTCATGCCCTCAGTGATGCTGACTTGTTCTCAGGGCAGTGGGTCCCATCAGGGAGCTCGTGCTCTTCCCCTTGACTCTTCCAGGTGCACTCTCTCCCAGGCAGGCACCCTGGGTAGCTGTGAGTCTTTAGGGAATTCTGTTTCTGGAATAGGAAAAGTGTTCCCCCACTGGGTGGGGAAGGAAGTTAGCAAAAGTTTGCCTGATGGGATTGGCCTGGGTAGTAATGCTATACCCTATGCGACCCCATCTCATTGGCACCCCTGACAGAGCAGCTCAGTGAGCTATAGAGGTGAAGGTAGAAGGTGAATGTGGCAGGGAAGGTGATAGCCCAGGCTAAAGGCTAAAGCAGGACCCCACCTGCTGGCATAACTCAAGCCAGAGCCATGGAGGTGGAGGTGGGAGACATGTTTGGGTAAAGGAGGATGCCCCTGGGGAGAGGGAGCTGGTTATATGCATCTTACATGATTGATCTTCACAGGGCCTGAGAAGGCTTGGGGCTGGTCTGGTTTGCCCAGAACAGCAAACCCAGGCAGCGCACACTGCTATGCAGCTCCTCTCTTGGTTTGGTGGACTGACTCCCATTCTTTCATGGTCCTTCCACCCTCTCCGGTGGCTCAGCTAGATGCCTTCTCCAGGTCTGTCTGCCATCTGAGTGTTCCTATGCCAAGCTGAACTCTGCCTTTTCAGAATGTCCTCACTCCTGCAAACTGAAGCTCTTATTTTCAACACAGAAATGAGAAATTGGGAGAGAAGCTGAGTGCCATGGGGCTAGAGTATGTGGTTTGGAGGCAACCAATGGAATAATTTTGAGGTCAATAGGATGCTGAGCTGATCAACAGAGATCCTCCCCGCCCCTACTATGGTGGGTGGGGCTGTGTAGAGCAAGGCCTGTATACAACAAGATCCGCAGGTGGTCCCCACTTGCCTACCTACCATCCTGCGCCAGCTTCACCCTCCACCTTGGCCCTGTTCGTTCCTCTCTTCCCTCTTTCCCGCCTCTCCTCCCTCTAGGTAGTGCAGGCAGCAGCTGTTGACCACAGGGGCACATATGTTTGCCTTGCCTGTCTGCACTTGAGCTTCCTGTGGGTGCCCATCTTGGCCTGCATGTTGCAGGACTTGTGCTTCTGGGCAGATACTTCTGATTCTTCTCCTCTTTATGCAATTTTTTTTTTTTTTGACACAGAGTCTTGCTCTGTTGCCAGATGCCAGGCTGGAGTGCAGTGGCGCAATCTTGGCTTACTGCAACCTCTGCCTCCTGGGTTCAAGCAATTCTCCTGCCTCAGCCTCCCGAGTAGCTGGGACTATAGGAGCGCGCCACCACGCCCAGCTAATTTTTTTGTATTTTAGTAGAGATGGGGTATCACTATGTTGGCCAGGATGGTCTTGATCTCTTGACCTCGTGATCTGCCCTCCTCGGCCTCCCAAAGTGCTGGGATTATAGGCGTGAGCCGCGGCACCCAGCCGATTCTTCTCCTCTTAAAGAGGAAAAAAGGCTCAGATAAGAGAGGAGGTTAAGGAAAGAAGACTTGAAACTATATGGAGGCTAGATAGGAACTAGGTTGAAGGGACGCTGTCAGAGAAGAACTCAAGGTGCCAGGAGCCCAGGCTAGCTGTAAGGACCTAATGGTCCCTGGGACTGGGTTGTGGGGCCAGGTGAGGCTGGTCTGATGGAGGAACTGTCCTTGGAAGGAGAATTCTGTTTCTGGCTGGATGCTTGTTTGAGTACAAGGGACTGTGAAGGATCCATTTTACAGTAAGCCTGGGATGAAACTAAACTCATTCTTTTTTCTCACAGCTCACCCCTGAGTCTTGAGCTTCAAACCAGCCCTTCCTGCTGATTTTTCCATTACTGCTAGTCTCCTATACCCAGGTGTAAACCTCAGGGTAACTCCGACTTTCCACATTTAATCAATTACCAGATTCCAATGGTCCTTCACAAAACAGTTGCCTTTTGCCCCCACTTCCTTCACCCAGCCCAAGTCCCTGTTCCCATGCCTCAGCTACTGTGACAGCCTTCCAGCTGGCTATGCCCTTCAGTCTGTCCAGACCATCTTCACTACATAGAAGTATTCATCACTTTGCATGTGTTATTCCTAAGCTAAATGCCTTTGGTGATGCTCTCCATTGCCTGCCATGTACAATACAGACTCTCTATTCTTTTTCTTTTTCTTTTTTTTTGAGACAGAGTCTAGCTCTGTCACCCCAGCTGGAGTGCAGTGGCATGATCTCGGCTCACTACAACCTCCACCCCCTGGGTTCAAGAGATTCTCTTGCCTCAGCCTCCCATGTAGCTGGGATTATAGGCATGTGCCACCGTGCCCGGCTAATTTTTGTATTTTTTTGTAGAGACAGGGTTTCACCATGTTGGCCAGGCTGGTCTTGAACTCCTGACCTTGTGATCCGCCTGCCTCGGCCTCCCAAAGTGCTAGGATTACAGGCATGAGCCACTGTACCTGGCCCAGACTCGATTCTTTTGCTAAAGGCCTTTATCAATCTGATGCCAGCCTACCTTTCTGGCTTTATCTCCCAGAACATCCTAGTATGTATCTTTCACTCTCATCAAACTAGACTACTGACTGTTTCTTGAAAACACTTTTTCCACCTCTTCATCTTTGCGCATGCTTGTCTTTTCTGTCCGGGAGGGTCTCTTCCACCATTCATCTCTTCATTTAAAGGTATTTTTTGAGCACTTTTTAGTTTGAAAAATTTCAATGCAGAGAAGTTGAAAGAGTAGTACAGTGAACAGCTAGGTAACCTACATCTAGATTCACCAGTTGTTATTGCCGCGTTTCTTTTCTCTCCCTTTTTTTCCTGGACCCGTTGAAAATAAGTTGCGGGCATTATGACATTTCATCCCTAAATATTTTGGTCAGTATCTCCTCATAAGAAGGACATCATCCTACATAACCACAATCTTTTCTTTTCTTTTCTTTTTTTAAAGAAAAGATGGTACCCAGCCAATATTTTCTTTAAAAAAAAAAAAAAAAAAGTCTGGGACTGAGTGTGGTGGCTCATGCCTGTGATCCCAACACTTGGGGAGGCTGAGGTGGGAGGATTGCTTGAGGCTAGGAGTTCAAGACTAGCCTGGACAGCATAGTGAGATTCCCATCTCTACAAAAATATTTAAAAATTAGCCTGGGTTGGCCAGATGCGGTGGCTCATGCCTGTAATCCCAGCACTTTAGGAGGCCAAGGCAGGCGAGTCATGAGGTCAGGAATTCGAGACCAGCCTGGCCAACATGGTGAAACCCTGTCTCTACTAAGAACACAAAAAATTAGCTAGGCGTAGTGGTGGGCAGCTGTAATCCCAGCTATTTGAGAGGCTGAGGCAGGAGAATGGCTTGAACCCGGGAGGCAGAGGTTACAGTGAGCTGACATGGTGCCACTGCACTCCAGCCTGGCAACAGAGCAAGACTCCGTCTCAAAAAAAAAAAAAAAAGATAATGTGATTTTTAGGCCAGGCACAGTAGCTCATGCCTGTAATCCCAGCACTTTTATAGTCTGAGGCAGGAAGAGCACTTAAGCCCAGGAGGTTGAGGCTATAGTGAGCAATGTTCTTGTGACTGCACTCTAGCCTCAGCAACAGAGCAAGACACTATCTAAAAAAAACCCAAAAAATTAAAAATTAACTGGGCATAGTAGCGTGCGCCTATAGTGCTAACTACTCAGGAGGCTGAGACAAGAGGATGGCTTGAGCCCAGGAGTTTGAGAGGCTGCGGTGAGCCATGATTGTACCTCTGCACTCCAGCCTGGGTAACAGAGAGACATCATCTCTAAAAAACAACAAAAAATAAAAATGTGGTAAACTATACGTAACATTTACTATTTTACCATTTTAAAGTGTATCATTGTGGCATTACGTACATTCACAATGTCGTGTAACCATCACCACCATGCGTTTCCAGAACTTTTTCATCATCACAAACAGAAACTGTGTACCCATTGAATGATAGCTCTCCATTCCCCCTGTGTAACCTTGGTTCTGCTTTCTGACTGTGAATTTGCCTCTTCTAATTACCTCATATAAGTTGAGACCTACATTATTTGTCCTTTGATGTGTGGCTTATTTCACTTAACATAATGTCTTTAGGGTTCAGCCATGTTGTAGCACATGTTCAGAATTTCAGTCCTTGTTTAAGGCTGAATAATACTCTCTTGTATGGGTAGACCACTTTCGTTTATCCGTTCATCTGCTGCTAGACATTTGGAATGTTTTAGCCTTTGGATGTTGTGAATATGCTGCCATGAACATTGGTTTACTAGTATTGGGGTCACAGCTTTCAGTTCTTTTGGGTACATACCAAGAGTGGAATTGCTAGATAATATGGCAATTCTGTTAACTTTCTGAGGAACTGCCACACTGTTTTACAAAGTGACCAAGAAATAAAAATGCGTTATTATTATCTAAACTACAGATCATAATTACATTTCTCTAAATATCCGTATGTTTTCCATTACAGCTTTAAAAAATACCTATTTCAGGATTACATGAGGGATC